GCACCGAAGCGAGCACTATATGTCTTTTTTCGAGACAGGATTTTTCTGTAGCCCCATCTGGTCTGAACTCACTGTATAAACCAAGCTGGCCTCGAACTCAGTGATCCGTGAAAATAGCATTTTTAAAAACTCAAAAATTGAGGCTGGAAAGGTGACTTGATGGTTAAGAACACTGTTCTTGCAAAGGACCCGATTTTGATTCTCAGCACCCACATGGTGGCTAACAACCATCTGTAACTGCAGTTCCAGGAGATTTGTTGCCTCCTCAGGCATTGCACTACATGGTTGCACTTAATACATGCAGGCAATACACTCCTCATACACATAAAATAAAAATAATAAATAAAATATTTTAAAAACTCAAAAAACTAGAAGTGGATAAATTCCTAGATACATAATGATATACCAAAATTTAATTAAGCGGATATAAAAAATTAAATGCTCCATGCCAAGCAATAAGACTAAAACAGTAATGAAATTCTCCCCACAAATAGGACTGGAAGGATTCATTGCTGAATTCTACCAAATTTTAAGAAAGACCAAAATACCAATACTCCTCAAGAAGTTCCACAAAATACAAATGGAACAGACATTAACAAACTTATTCTATCAAACCAGTATTACCCTGATATGAAAACGAAAGACAAAAATAAGGACATGATAAAAAAGAAAACTATTGAACAATTTCTCTGATGAACATAGATCCAAAATTTCTTAAAATATTAATTGCAAATAGATGTTACCAACATATTAAGAAGATCATATGCTATGAAATGGTTGGTTACATTTCAGGGATGCAAGTCAATAAATGTACTATAGCACAAAAGTAAGATTAAGGTCAGAAATCACAGGATCACATCAGTAGATGCGGAAAAGTCATTTGACAAAGTTCAACGATCTTTCATGATAAAATCTTATACACAATAAAAAATAAAAGAAACATATCCCAACACAGTAAAATACTATATACAACAAATTTATAGTTAACACTATGCTAAACATGGGAAAACATAAAACAAATTTCTTTTTAATAGTTTATTATTTTTATTTTACGTGTATGATTGTATTGCTCATATACGTGTTAAGTGCACTCATGTCATGCAGTGCCCACAGAGACCAGAAAAGGGCATCGGATCCCCTAGAACTGGAGTTACAGATGTTTGCTAGCCACCATGTGGGTACTGGAAATCAAACTCCAGTCCTGTGCAAGAGCAGCCAGTGTTCTTAACCTCTGAGCCATCTCTACAGACCCAAAATAATTTTCTTTAAATACAGGAATGAGACAAAGTTGACCATTCTCTCCACTTTTATTTAATATAGTGCTCAAAGTCTTACCTAGAGGGAAAAAAAGACAATAGAAAGAAAGAAAATGGAAACAGTATGAAATCAAGAAGTCACAATATTCCTACTGCAAATGACATGATCCTACACTTAAAAGGACCCTAAACACTTAAAAAAGGTATTTAGACATAATAAACACTTTCAATAAAATAGCACTATGCAAAATCAACATCCAAAAATCAGTAGCTTATTTATATTCCAAAAATAAAAAAATTTTCCAAGAAATAAATTAGAGGGGAAAAAAATCTAATACACATCGTTTCAAGTGTGTGTGTGTGTGTGTGTGTGTGTGTGCGTGTGTGTGTGTATGTGTGTGTACAAACCAAACCAAGAAGGCAAAAGATTTCTAGAACAAACATTTTAAGACACTTGTATTAGCTGCTTTCTGCGCAGCTGTGACAAAACACCAGACAAGAATCAACTTGATGGAGGGTTTATTTGGGCCTACAGTTCAAGCAGATACAGCTCATCATGGTGGCAGGTGCTTGAGATTGCTGGTCACATTCAGCCTGCCATCAGGAAATAGTGTCAAATGATGCTGCTCAGTCATCTTTTTTTCATTTTTTATTGAGCTTCTGTATTCTCATACAACAGTTCTCGATCAAATCTAGACCCCCCTCCCCTATCTAGTTCTTCTCCACCCCCCACTGGACCCCATGCACTCTGCAACACATGGTAAGTCCTATCCTGTCAAGCATTTACACCCAGATGCCCTTCGGTGGAAGTTCGTCCACTGGAGTTCAGTCAGTCCATCCAGAGATGGTGTGCAAGGCATAATCTCCATGACCCAGCAGCAACCAGCACAACAGCTCTCAGTATAGGGCTGGCCCACCACTCATCTCTCTCCTCCCCTCTGGACTCTTGTTCAATTGAGTTGGCATGAGTCCTGTACTCAGTGCCACCATTGCCACAAGTTCACATGTACAAGCTTCCAGTGGCCTGAAGACCTCTGCTTCCCTGTGTTTGTGAACCAGCCCTGGCTCTTATAGTCTTTCCATCCCCCTCATCTGCAATGGTCCCTGAGCTGTGGGTGGTTGAGGTTCAATATAGGAGTCCTATCCAGGGGTACGCACTCTTTAAAGTCTCTTATTCTTTAAAATTTGGGCAGATATGGCCTTCCGTGTGCATCACACTCTGCTGTACAAGGAAGTTTTACTGGTGAGAGTGGAGAGATGTATTAGTTTTCTCTCTACCCCTTGTTCTATGTTCCATGAGCCGTAGTTGTAGAGGTTCAACTGTAGATATGTCACCTAGTACTGGGCACCTCTCAGACATATATTCTCTATGACTGACTGACCAGCTGTGCAATTCTGCAATAGCCTCCATCTCTTTCAAAAAGACATTTCTTTGAAGAGTGTTATATGGTATGCTTGACTGTAAATATAAGGATCAATATTTAGCATATATAAGAAATTTCATTTGTCTAGAAATATGAGATAGGGTTTTCTCTAGGATCTACATCCTCTTCTGCCATGTGTACTTGGCTGAGTTTACAGTGCCACCCATAAATTCTCTCCCACTGTGGAGGCTTCAAGTCCAATTAGATAGCTGTTGATTGCCTCTACCCACCCCCCGCCCCAGATAACAGTTCCACTACTGCACCAATAGAGGTAGTTTGCCATGTCAGTCCTTATGGTTATTGGGCCTTCAAGCTGGGTTGGACCATTGATTGTTTTTCTCCCTTGGCAAGTTGCATAACATCATCTAGTGTTATGATAGCCAAACTTCAGTTAGAAGGCTTCCAGGTCAGTTCCTGCTCCGTTGCTTCAAATACTATATCCGAAGTATGTCCTGTCTTCAGCAGCAGGGTCTCATGTACTAGTCCTGGGAGACACCAAGAGGTTTGACAATAGTCTGTGTTATCCTGGGAGTCTTCTGGACCACTCCCACCAACCACTCAAAGGGAGGACTCTGTCTGGCACTGTGGCTCCTGCCAAGCAGCTCCCAGGAATACACACGCACCAATCAATGTTCAGACACTGTACGTGTATCTCCCATGCAGCCATCTTATTTTTGATGTTGTGTGTCACCAATTGGTTGCTGTCATCCAAGACTCTACTCTATTGCACTTAAGAATCCTTTTATCAGGGGCAATAGTTTCCACTATAATTCTTGATCAAAAAAGAGAACACAGAGTTCTTCGAGAATGTTGACAATTTCCTCACAAACCTATTTCTCACATTCATGGTAAAAAGAGGTGCCTGATCATTTTTCCTGAGTATCTGAGCAGGTCTCATGAAAAATCCACTATTAACATTCCAATCTCTGTAAGCTTATTTGACCTAATCTGGCTCTGTATCCTCCTTACCATTATCCCACACACTTAATGTCTATTACTAAACAGTTTACTCAATTTCCATCCATATAAATTGGAAAGATCATACATTTCTTTTGGACCTTAATACACATCTTTATGTAACACACCTCACCCTTTAGGGCTTGCAGAGACTTGTGTCTAGTTACATACCCAGAAATATACAGGGATAGTCAGGAAGGCCCCAGGAACAAACCTCAGTGTCACAAGGCAGCCTTCAAAGGGTATTCCATTACAGTTTCTCAGGAGAAGTTCTGCTTCAGATGAGGCTGCTTCTACTGACAAAGGGAACTTGGCTAAACTTAGGGGTTTAATTTTCTGAGCTTTATTAGCATGTAATCATATATCTCTGCCTCAGTTTTTAATATATCTTTCCTTCCCAGTTAATGTCTCCACTTTAACATCGTGAAAGGATAGGAATTCTACTCAAGATGTAACTTATTCAAAGGATGGTATTCTGGGTTTGATTTTGTTTTTTATTGCATCAACTCTGCCACCACAGATAAGTTTCTTTCCTTCAAGGCAGACTTAAATATTTTTAAGTCATTAATGTAGCACTTCATCTGGACATTTAAAGCTTTGAGTTCATCATCCCTTTTTTTCCACTTTAACAAAATTAAGAGCAATTAGTCAATATCCCTAAACTCTGTTTTACAAGTATGCTCTAAGATACAAAGATACATGGGTTGATATAGCCAGGTGTGATGACATATTCTTATAATCCCAGCACTTGGGAGGTGAAGACAAGAAGACCAAGAGTCCAAGGCCAGCCTCAGCTACATAGCAAGTTCCAGCAAAGTTTCTTTTGATGTGTGTGTGTGGTGGGGGGAATGTGCATGCGTGCATGTGTGTTCACTAAGAAACTTGCACTATAAGTGTTTGGATAAGAGCATCCAATAATGATATTTTATACATCTTCATCTCGTTGGATTATCAGAGTCCTCTTCACTATTGAAATTAAAAACAGTAATGCTCTTATCTATTCTGATTAGAGAGCCAATTTCAAAAATCCAAAAACCAGTTCAAAAAAATTCATATGATTCTGTCCCTGGAATAATTCTCTGTAGCAAAATCAGCATTGATCAAGATTCTCCAAAAATAAAAATAAACAGAACCAATAGGATATGACACTTTTTATTTTTCATTTTGCATAATTGTCTTATATGATTTTTTTCAGAGCTAGAAAGTTCCAAATCTGTAGAGCAGGCCATCAGGCTAGAATCTCAGGTAACACTAATGCTATAATCTTGAAATGTGTACTGCAGGCCAACAGCTCAGAAATTCAAGAAGGATTTCTATGTTACAGTCTTCAGGCAAAATTTCTTCTTCTCTGGAAAGCCTGTTTTTCACTCATAAGATCTTCAGCTGACTAAATGACGTCTACCTATAGCATTTCTTATAGTCTCTTTTACTTAAAGTTAACTTTAAAAGTTAATCACATCTACAAAATGTTTTCAGAGTACCATCAAGATTAGTGTTTAGAACAAAAAATCAGGGCACCATACCTAGCATTCCTGACACATACAAATAACTATAACAGTCTCAGAAATACATTTTATAGAAAAGATATGCATTGAAAATCCTTAAAAGAAGTCCAATTGGGTAAATAAGTAATCTTAACAGTTTTGCGACTTCATAACAGAAATTTAACAACAGCAAAATTTGCCTATGAAGGCCAAGATAAGAGACGTTAAGGTCTTTGAAGCACTCAAGCTGATAAAGGACACACTCAGTGATCACAGCAGTCCAGATGATTGTAGAAACTACCTTGGCACATCTAACATTCCTTATGTGGCGTGTCTCTACTGGAAGAAATGTAATGAGAAAGGCCTCAAGGCTAACACAGCTGAGTAAAAGGGAACTGGCATGAATATTGGCAAGTTGGAAATTCTGCCTCAAGGTTGATTGAAAAGAAGCTGATAACATTTCACTCTTTATCACATCTAGCATCATGACAGAAACAATGCTGCAGCCAACTAAGATGTCTGCCTGAGCTATGTTACTAATAAACACCACAGTGGATTTTTTGGATACAGTAGGCAATGTCAGTATCAATGCAACATAGAGACTGGCAAACAATCCCAGCAGAGTGATGATGAGGTTTGGAGAAGGTAGGACTAGATACTGGAAGTATTTGAATGCCAGGTACCTTCGGAGATCTGTCATATGGTCTCGATTTATAAAAACATGAAGCTGGGTAGGATTCCTGGAGTGAAGGAGAGAAGAAAAGTGGTGTAAGAATGTATGCAAAACAACAACTTAAAGCACTTGAAACTATGGTTTTGTCCAAGAAATTAAAAACAATAATATATTTCCCATGAATAGACCCAATTCCACAGCACATCATAGAGCCATATGAAATTACATCTCATTTTTGGTGACAATTGATGGCAAAGACAAAGATCGTTCTTCTATTTCAATGCTGTCTACATACAAATTGATGTCTCTATTAATATTTGATCTTACACTTTTGATTATTAAACTTAAGGAGTTAGAAGAAATTTCCCTGCTCAGATTAGATGTATGTATCAGAATCAGAGGAAAAAACTCAGAACAGATGTCTAGTAAGGGAAAAAGAAAATTCTTCTTGGTTAATGCACTAGAAATGAAATAAAATCTTATAATTAAAGAAAAAACAGAATGAAAGAAAACTTGATACTTAAATGTTCCTCCTTCCTTTAAACAGGAACACTAGTTAAAACTAGCAACTGTTTCTTCTACATCCCCCAAATAATTATTCATATTGGTATTCTTCACATTTAAAAGTAACATGCGTGGACTATCCTCTCTGTCCATCTGAAATCTCCTTTATGTCCTGTCATATCTAATATCACACTAACCTAATGTAGAGTTTTCTGTGAAGCAAGCATTAAACAGTGGTGACATACTGAACTACCTCATGAGGAAATCATTACACATTGACAGCATAATTCAAATAGTGTTTTCTCTCTGCTAAAATATTGAAGAGATAGTGAATGTTAACTTTATTCAGTGATTTGTTAAGTTAAAAGAGGCTAAACTAAATTTAAGTTGATACAAAATGTAAAGAGAGGTAGTATGTGTTTTCACTTCAGAAAAAGCTATATAAGAATCTTATGCCCCAAGTGTCTCAAAATCCCAGTCATGTGAATTTGTTCCTGACATGCAAGCTGGTGGAAAAAAATTCTTGTTCCCAAGATGTATGACCAAGTGAGAAATACTCACAGGAGTCACAAAATCAAATGTCCCGAGATCCAGAAGGTCTATTTAAGAGTCCCCATCTGAAGGCTAATAATCAACTCTAGGCTATCACAATCATTAAGTCATAGTATTGCATTTTTTTATTTCCCAAGAGCCAGAAGTTAGGCTTTTAGATCAGATAATTCAAGTTTTTAATATGGGAAGGTCAATTTAGATTTGTTTACTTGTTCATGTAGTATTCTGTTTAGTTTTAACATGTTAAGCAGAACCCAACAGCCACATTGCAACTTTTAGCTAGAGTCCTGAAAATATCATATCAACAAACATATTACAAGACATCATGCCTGATGGACATAGATGTAAAATTACTAAACAAAAGCTGCAGCAAACCAAATTCAATAATATATTTCTATCCTCATTCTAGAGATGAAAAAATTAAACATTACATTGGGGCTGGAAAGATGGCACAGTGGTTAAACACTGTTTGTTCTTGCAGAAGACCCGGGTTTGAATCCCAGCAGCTAACAACTGTCTGTAACTCCAGTCCCAGGGGATCCAAGAGCGTCCTCTGACCTCTGCGGGCATTGCACAACACAGGTGCACTTACCTACATGCAGGCAATACACACATACACATAAAATAAAAATAATATTTTTTTTAAAAAAAGAAAAAAGAAAGATTGCATAGGTTAAGTATCTTGACTAACCTCCACTGAGCCATTCCATTTAAGTGGCAGGGGACAGGCAATACAGGTAAAAAATAAATAACTGATTTAGTGTTTGTATTAATGTTTCAGCCACTGAAACAAATTCCATGTGTATAGCAATTTCCTCCCAGATAGTCTTCCATCTTAGAGGGAAACTGAGTAAACAGAATGTTTTGTGAGAATTAGAAACATTCCATCCTTCTGGTAAGTTGGTTAAGCTCAGGAAGCAAACAACTCAATAGCTTCAGGAAGTCCCTAAAATTGACCAGGTTCACTAGGCACCTCCCTCCCCAAGCATATATAAGCCCTAAGGACTGCTAAGAAACACTCTCAGAAAAGCTGGGCTGCCTGAAAAAAGCAGTTCAATCAAGCTGCATGGAATATACCCAGATCAACTGGCTACCTGGCAAGGACACTCTCCAACCTGCTGAGCTGACTGAAGTTGTGTAGTGCATTCCAGGTTTCCTGCTTTCCCATGCTTGTGTGGGCTTTGGTGGTGCAGCTGTCTTTGAGTTATTTCTGTTCCTATAAGTAACCTCTTACACATACTTCCAAAAGCAACCACAATAAAATTCCTTGGTTCATTAAAACAAAAAGTATCCTGACTAGTCTCACATGCAACTAAACTAAGAAGTGAGGGAATTCCAAACCCAGGGTTCTCCAGTTACTAATATTTTGGTCCTAACAAGTTTTGTGTCCTAACATGTTTTTGCAAGATTTAGCAGAAACTTACATTTGGATCATTTTTATTAATGTGGAATTACAGGTTAGGATGTAAATGCTCAAAGTTTTTTTTTAAAAGTAAAATTTGGTGTATTTCTTCTCTTTCCATGTTTAAAATCCATCTTTAAAATCCATCATTTGAGGTAATTTTTACTAGCCTTAAAATATACTAACTCTTAGAGATTCCCTCCCTTTCAGAAGATTGACTCTTCCTCACCCGGCAGTAATCAGCTGCCAATAATAGGCTGACTAGGCCTCGGTGCATGAACTTGCACCAAGGGTCATCTGGGGACACTAACTTAACTCGATAGACCTTAACACAAATGACAAAATGCATGAATTCCAGTGGGGAGGGAGAGCTATAGGAAAGTGCCAGTGGAGATGGGGATATAAAGATGATTAAGATGTTCTGTATGAAATACACAAAAATTCAATAAAAAATTTACCAAAAAAACATGAACTCTTAAACAAAAAGCAGCTGATCCCAAACTCACCAGACAGCAAGAAATAATAAAAACTAGGGAAGAAAATAATGAAACAGAGACTAAAAGAGCAACACACAAAATCAACCTAACAAACAGTTGGTTCATTGAAAAAGTCGATAAAATTAACAAAAGCCGTTAGCCAATATGACTAAGAGGAAGAGGGAGAAGGCATAAATTAACAAAATTTAGAGATCAAAAAGATGTCATGACAGCAGTACCTATCAAAATAATTTGATGTCATATTTCACAGATCTAGAAAAAGCAATCCATAAATTCATATGGAAACACACGTACACACATGTGCACACACACACACACACACATGCACACACAAATAGCCAAAGCAATCCTAAGTAGTAAGAGCACAGTTGGAAGTATCACAACATCCAACCTCAGATTATATACTACAGAGATATAGTGTTAAAGACAGCCTGGAACTGGCATAAAAACAGATAGGTAGATCAATGGAACAAAATAAATAATAATTCCCAGGACTTGGAAATAAATTAAAGCTATGCTCACTTAATTTTTAACAAAGCATACATTGGAAAATAGAGATAGCCTATTCAATAAATAATGCTAGCAAAACTGGATATATACCTAGAAGAATGAAATTAGAGTCATATCTTTCACCTTGTTCAAAAATCAATTCAAAATAGATCAGACACCTCAATTTAATAAATGAAAAGCTGAAACTTCTAGATGAAAACATAGGAAATACCCTTAAGGACAGTGGTGTAGGCAAGAACTTTCTGAATAAAACTTCAATAGCAAAGGAACTACCACAATTATCAACAGGTAGAACTACATGAAATTTAAAAGTTCCTACACATCCAAGGAAACTATCAACAGAGCACATGGAGAGCCCACAGATGGGAGAAAATCTTAACCAGCTATATGTTACATGAGGGGTCGATAGCCAGAATTTTCAAAGAACTGTAGGAATTAAATACCAAGGAAATAAAACTGCCAATCAACAAAGGGGATAATGAATTGAATGTACAGTTTTCAAGAAAAGAAAACAAATAGCCAATAACTCTTCTTTAAAGTCTTCGACAGCCCTGGTAAACAGAGAAATGCAAAATAAAACTTCTTCGAGATACCATCTCATGTCAGTCAGAATGACCATCATCAAGAAATTTGACAACAAATGTTAGAAAGGAAGGATATGGAGAAGGAGGAACTCTTGTTCATTGCTCATGGGAGTGCAAATTAATATAGCCATTATGGAAACCAGTCTGGATGTTTCTCAGGAAGTTAAAAACATGATTTCCATAAAACCAAGCTATTTCACTACTGGGTATATATCCAAAGAACTCAGTATCTTACCATAGACATATTTGCACCCCATGTTTGTTGCTGCTCTAGTCACTATAGCAAGGAAATGGAACCAAACTAGTTGTCCATCAGCAGATGAATGAATAATGAAAATCTGGTACATATACAAAATGAAATCTTATTCAGCTCTAAAGAAAAATAAAATAACAAAATTCTCAGGAAAATGGATGGACCTAGAATGTTAATATTATACGAGGCCATCCAATCTCAGAAAGAAAAAGACTCCACACTCTCCCTCAGATGCAGATTCCAGTCTATAATGTACACATATACTATATAAACAAATGCATGTGTAGGTATAGTATAACATTAAGAAAGGAGAACAAGAAAAAGTAACATTAGGTAATGATGAAATACGGAATGCAGGGAGGAAAACATGTAAGTTGTAAAAGAGAATATGAATCTAGTTGTTTTTCTAGTTTTAACTGTCTGTGTGTGTGTGTGTGTGTGTGTGTGTGTGTGTGTGTGTGTGTGTGTGTGGTGGAAAAGTGCACAAAAATGTAATTGATAGTGAAAGCGTAAAACATGAAGCGAAGGTCCATGGCTTCAGAACGGCCACTCTAACTTTACAAAAGTTCACTGAAATGTGCAGAGTTTGGGACTGGGCAAGTGTTTGGGTGGCTACCTTAATTTAGCTGTGTGATGTTTTTGTTTGTCAGTTCATCACGATAAAGTGATTTTTATATTAAATGTTTATATTTGAATAAATTGTTAAGTCTATTTTCAATGTTATCAGCCTGAACTTGCCAAATTTTCTCCTGTTCTGACCCTGCA